TTTTTGCCCACAGGCATTTCCTCTCCCACCCAAAAAGGGACCAGCAAGGCAGCATCAAGAAGCGCAGTTGAGGACTGATGCAGGATGGATAACATGGCCAACAGAAAAAAGGGCACAGACACGGACATGAAAACCCAAGGGCATTTGCAGGGGCTGAGTCCAGCAAGGTGGAAAGGAGAGACCCAGGGCACTTAGCAGGCTCTGTGGGACTGACACAGCAGAGCCCAGACTCTCTTGGGTTACCATGGGCAATGCTTACCCAGCAGGCTGCTCTCCGCACAGATGTAGTCAACCAGTTTAGCTCCTGGCCACATCCCCACAGCACGGTGCAGGGTGTGGCAGAAGTGGTCCTCAGGGATGCTCTCTCCCCGCACACTCAGGGTCTGGCTCAGCCTGGGGAGCAGAAGGCAGTGGGTTGGTCACAGGGGCTGGGGAAATAGCACAGCCCCAAGAGGGGCACAACCACCCTTGCACAGCGACCCAGCCTGTGGGGGAAGAATAACCCTGACATACGCCAGGCTACTTGTCCTCAGAGCACAGCAGAGGGCAGTCCCCAGACTTTCCACCCAGCTCACCCCTTTCTCCTGTGCACTGCTCCACTGCTGCAGGAGCCCCCTCTCCTGTGGTTCGCATTCAATGCCCTACATTCACCAGGAGGCAGCCCAGGCCTCCCCAGTTGGGGAGGGGCAGCAAATCCAAGCTAGGGGTGGAGAGTTTTGAGATGTTCCTTACCTGCGCACAGGTTCCACCACAGGACACTGGTGATAGAATCCAGTCACCTTCACCACCTCCCCAACACGGCACCTACAGGGACAAAAACAGGACAGACAGACGTGAGCCTAGGCCAGAATCCTCTGTGCCATACCCCATGCCATCACAGAAACTCACAACCACAAGGCACAGGGCCTGGGACAAGTAGGCCAGATGCTGGGAATGTTTTGGGGTTATGGGGGGTTGCAATAGATGCTGGGGGTCCCTGGGGTTGGGAAGACTGTAGTAGAGGCCCTTCTCCCTTGGGATTGTCAAGCAGCTTGGTAGGGGGAGGGGCACCTGTACTGCCCAGGGTGGGCGCTGAGCACCAGCTCATACTCCTGGCCTTCCCATACGTCCCCCAGCAGCACTGTCTCCAGTGGTTCCTCACTGTGAGTCCCTGCTGGGAGGAACTCACAGAATGCCCAGCCCGGGCACAGCAGGTAGCGGCAATCAGATTCCTCTGGCCACAGGTTCACTCCAAGCAGAGCTGGACAGGAGACAGAACAGGTCAGAGTGGGGGCTTCATGACCTCTCCAGCGCTGCAGACACCCCAGGGTCACTCTGATCACTGGGCTGCAGCACAAGTGCTGTTTATAGTGAGGCAGCCACCTTTGGGGTCAGTTATCTGGGCTGTTGCTACAAAGACCCCTCACCCAGCACTACAATGCAGTCGGCTTCTGGGGAAGGGCACAGGGACTGCTAACAACCACACCACAGCATTTTAAGGCAGAAGGGGGCAAGCCTACAGGGCAATGCAGTGGGATGGATAAAAACTGCTTAGGCTGGGACCCAGTCCTCCAGGCAGTAGGTTTAAACCCAACTTCTGTTCATAGACTAGTCCCACCACTACTATGCAGGGCTACAGGTGAAAGCAACACTCCCCCCAGGCCCACATGCCAATCACAGAGAGGCCAAAGGCTCACCAGGGTCACCTATCCACCCGGGATATGGCCTAAGCCTGTTTAGTGCCCTTACCTCCTGCTGCTACATAGAAGGGGGAGTAGAAGGGGATGCCCTTGCAGTCCTGTTCCCGCAGGGTGTCTCCATAGAGCTGCTCACTGCCAGACTCCCCCACCACCACTGCCTGGAGCTCTGGCCATAGGCGCTGGGCAATGCCATCGAAACCCCTAGAGCACTCAGCCCTCAGCTCTGCTGCCCGCACCGGGTTGGGAGACAGGAGGCTGTCCAGCTGGTACCGAGTCCCCTCAGGTAGTTTCAGCTGTGGGCTCAGCCATCCTGAGGCTAGGTCCTCTGCCAGACCCTCCCAGTTGGCGTGCAGGATGGCCAAGGCATCATGGAGCTCCGAGGCCAACCCAGCCTTTAATACTCGCAGTGCCTGCTCCTGCAGGGCAAACAGCAGCTGCACATAGAGGGCTGAGCTGCGTGAGGGCACAACGTCACCACCCAACCCTGCTGGCATACAGTACAGTGTGGGCAGGGGACAGGCTGTGGCAGGGCATGGGCAGCCTGGGGCACAGAAGACAGCAGTGGCCTGCGGGGTCAGTGCACCTGGGTACACTTTGCTGAGGATGTCTAGGTACAACATGGGCCCCTGCACAGAGAAAGAGAGAGAAATGGATGAGACCAAGACCCAGGCAGGGAGACATCAACCAGTAACAGCCCATGTTCCTCCCAGGGTAACAGCTAGATACCACAAGACACCCCATTTCCAGGGTAGCAGCTCAGGCCCCAGATCTCCCCAACAGCTGCTTGGACTGTGGGGCTCCCCAGTGTTCCCAACCACTAATGCTGGGGAGGGACCAGTCTCTATGCCCCTCTGGCTCCATCAAGGAGAGGGGAGGAGGTGAGCCCAGCAGCCCAGGGCGCCCAGCACGACATGTTTATTCCTTACTCCCTTGGTTCCCAACAAGGCCCTGGAGAGCTCTCTCCGGAGGAAGGGAGGGGGGAGCCTCAATCCACCATACCCAGCCCTATGCTACCTGCAGCGGGGCATCCAAGGCCCAGCAGCTCTGGAGCAGGGTCCATGGGCTGGGCAGGCTGCCAGGGTGCAGGATGGGCTGGTGGCTCCCATCCTTATCAAGCCTGCCTGGTTTCAAGGGGTGATGCTCCCGGAAGGTGTTAGAGTCTGTAGGAGAGAAGGACGCAGGATCAGAGCCAGGCTCCACCCTGCCAGTTTGCTCCCTTGTGACCCCACGCTGCTTCCCAGAGTGAAACAGGCCTAGGCTACCCTGGCAGGGCTGCCAACCAGTGCTGAGCAGCACCTAAAAGTGGATACTTCTTACGCTCCACACATGGCAAAGGGCCCTGCATTGCAGTCCTGCAGCCTGGCAGACAACAGGTGAGGCCTGAACAGCCTTGCAGGTGTTGCTCCCCTGCCACAAGCTGAACTGGGGCATGGCACCAGGACTGCTGGTAGTGGCCAGGGGCCTGCGGGGAGGCAGCGGAAGCCCCAAGCCTGCACACGGCCCCAGGGCTCGGCCGCCCAGATCCTGGCCTGACCGCAGCTGGGACAGGCTGCGGCATGGCATCCCACGGGTGCCCCTCGAGCCAGGCACCTGGCTCCGCGTCCCCAGCTTCCTTCAGCAGCCGCAGCAGGCACCTCTCCTGGCTCTGCCGCACGTCCTTGGTCTGGTTCTCCAGGCGCCGGCGCTGCCGGCTCGTGGCCCAGCCCAGGCCCCCGAGCATCAGGCTGTGCCCCAGCAGCAGCCTCCAGCACTGGCTCCGTCCTGCTGCCCTGCCAGGCCTCCAGCGGGCCCAGAGCAGCAGGAGCAGCCCAGCGCCCAGGAGGGCGGCGAGGAGCAGGAGGAGCATCACGGGGCCCTGTAGGAGACGGGGCTGATCATGGGGGCCGGGACGACCCACAGGCCCCCGGCCCGCGTGGGGACCACCCACTTCCCACACAGAGGCCCCCAGCCCCTCACCCCAACCTGGCCGGGCGGGGGGCACCCCGGGAGGGGAAGGGAGGGGAGCGGTGCAGCGGCTCGCCCCGTCCCGCGCGGGGCCGCCCTAACCCCGGATGCGCCGCTTCCGGCAGTAATGACGCCACAAAACGAGGCGGTGACGTCAGTCGCTGCTCTTAAAGGGGCTGCGCCATTCACCGCAGCAGCGCCTTCTCCCACGTGGGCATCTCCCCCACCGGAGCTCGGGCCCAGGCGTCGCTTTCCAGCCTCCTGTGGCCAGCCCCTGCCCCCGTGGGATGGGCACCAGCCCGCAGGGCTGAACGGGCAGCGAAACCAGCCAGCCGCCTCCCACCTCGCCAGGGCACCGGGACCAGCAGGGAGCGCCCGAGGGGGCAGCTGGCCCGGCCTCGCCGCAGCCCAGCGCCATGGGCGCACAGGAGTACGGGCCTCTGCTGTGCGCTGAGGGCCAGCCCCGGGCCACCAGCAACCACAGCCCCCCGGGAGCGAGGCCACAAAACGCCCGGTTTAAGCCCACGGGCTCGAACAGGAACAGGACTGCAGGTTGGAGGCTGATGGTGAGGCTGCCAAGAGAGGACGCCGAGCTGAGAAGTCCGGCCAGCACCCACTGCCTTTTAAATGCATCCAAGGAGCCAGTAGATGCGCCCTGTGAAACCCTGCCTAGAGACGGACATGGACAAGGGAAAAAGAAAGGGGAGGAAGGGGCTATCCAGCCCAGCCCTCTGCTGTAAGGCGGGGTCAAGGGTACCGCGATCAGCCCGTGCCACGTATTGGGCTGCCGGCGTCTGGGGAAGGAGATTCCACGGACTCTGCTTGGCCTGGGTCAGCACTTCTCCAGGGTAAACGCCTAGGTGGGTTCCCTTCCTAGCCCCCCCTCAACCTTCTTGGCTGCAAAGTATACTGATTTTTTCACCCTTCCAGCAGGTGCCTTGGAGAACAGCTGGTCATCACCCCCTTTGTAATGACGGTTTAGTATCAGAAACCTTGTCACCCCCACCCTCTGAGTCTTTTCTTTTCTGAAGGGAACCTGCCCAGGCCCTGGCCTCCTCAGTTACATTTCTACCCCTCCGGTCGTTGGCGCTGTTCACCTCCAGACTCTTCAGCTTGTCTACAGCTGAAAAAGTGTAGCATCCCAAGCAGGAAGCAACACCCCAGCTGAAGCCTCCTGAGCACTGAACGGAGTGGATTAACTACCTGCTTCATCTTGCATCTGGCACTCGTGCCAACGCAGCTCAGAATGAAAATATTGGCTCACACTGGGCCCTGATAAGACCCCCTATGCACCACCTCTGGGGGTGCCTTTCAGCTGAGCCATTGCTGCTCCATGAGACTGAATTTTTTTCAGCCACTTGTGCAGTAGCTGCATTAATGGTTATGTCTGGACCAGACTTCCTAAGCTGGTTTGTGAAACCGATTTTGGACAGCATCAAACACCTTACTTAAGTCCAAGTACATCACATCCACTGCTTCCCATGTCCGCTAGGCAAGTTTACCTGCTAGAGAAAGGTATGAGATGGCTTTGTCATGGTCTATTTAGCAAATCCATGCTGGCTGCTTTTTTAATCGCTTCATTCTCTTTTAGGTACTTACAGACATCATTTAATATGTTCCAGAATCTTTCCAAGGATTGAAGCTGGGACTGAATTCTCCGGGTCCTCCTTTTCTCATTCTTTGAGGATAGGCACCATGTTTGACCCCTTGGGACTGCTGCTGTTCCGAGATGATCACCAGTGGTTCAGAGATGTCTTTGGCTCCTTGGACCACTCCAGGGGGAGTTTCATTGGGCCTTGCTGATCCAAACACATCCATCTAACTGTTCTCTAACCTGCTCTGTCTTCTAGCCTGCACTAGTGTCTCCTTGTTAAAGTTAATTTAATTAATCATTGGGTCACCATTCACCTTTCTGGGGAAGGTTGAAGCCTTAAGCACTGCAGCCTCTTCTGTTGAAATCCGTCATTTGTCCTCTCCCACTGAGTAACAGGCCCAGACTTCCCTTCATTGTCCCACTACTGCCTGTGGGAGTCTTTGCTAGCTGAAATGTTCTGATCTCAGGCTGCCTGCTTGTGTGGCTCTCTCCTACTCACTGGTAGGATGGTGCCCTGCTTTCCTCATGGTTTCTTTCCAATTGCTGGGTCACCGAGGGGCTCCTGGAGGAGTTATAATGGTCCTTTTCTCTGCTTCTGATGTGTCCTTTTCATGGGGTTGTTTGCTCTCACATACTTAATACAGTCTCTCAATTCCTGCCAAAGCATCAACACTCCTCTATCCCTCAAATCATCTTCCCCGCAAGGCCCTACCTCTCCACTCCTGGAATCTGCTTTCACAAACTCTGCGCCCCTTATTGGGCTGCTGTCCTTCCCTCAGAATAGCAAACTCTTTGTTTTTATGCTTCCACCCCAAAGTCCTTCTTCTTCAGTTAGTTCCTCGCCATCCGTCTGAACCCAGTCTAGACAAGCCAGCTCTGCCAACCAGTGAATATTATATTAAACACAGGACACTTCCCCCACCCGGTCCTTTGCGGCTGAGCTCTCTGGCTGTGGCACTCTCTGCCACAAGGTGTGCAGTGATCTGGCTCTCAGAAACAGAACACAAACAATTCCTGTCCTTGTACAGGGCTTTTATTGAAAACACAAAGACGCACCATGGTGCACTCACCCCAAATCATAGACAATACTTTATCGGTGCCATATGCTGGTCTGCATCAGGCTGTAACACTAAAAATAGGCATCTGAAATAATTCATTTCCACATAAAAGGTTCTTCTTTTTTTTCTTTTTTTTAAAGAAAAAAATTATCAAAAAGTCTCTCCATTTCCCTGTTAAATTATTTTTTTATTATTTTTTTCCTTTCTACAAAAAATAACCCACACATTTCCCTTTCCTGCCTTTCCTTGAAATGGCTAAACTTGAGAATTAGATTTTAATTTCTTTTTATTTTTAAAAGGATCAAACATTATCACCCAAATCTCCAGAGCTTCAGCAAGATAATTTCTTTTAAAATATATATACACATATATCTCTATATCTCTCTCTCTCTATATATATATATATAGCTATATATCTATCTATATAGATATGTATCTATATATACAGATATCTATATTAGAAAGCTATAGATATATAGTGCTTTTTCTCCCCCCACCCCCACAACCAAGAAAATATTAGCAAGATGTGCAGAAATCACCTGACTGCCCCTGATCTGCTAGCACAGCCAGCTCATGCCCCAGACAGCCAGCAGGTAGCTAATGGCAGGACACCCTTCCAAAGCATGTCATTCACCCATTGCTCTCCAAGTGCCAGACTGGAGCAGTGCTGAGCTAGGCACCATCAGTGCACCGCACATCCCCAGAGAACTGGGTTGCAGAGCAGGGCAACAGCAGGTGAATTGTTTCAAAGACTCACCAGGATAGCCTGCTGCCAGGACAGGGCTGCCCCTCATCAGGGGCCTGGGCAGACACTTCCCAGATTAAGGTTTTACCAGCTCCGGGATATGAGAGATTTGTACAAAACCCTGTGCACCAGGATGGCACTGGGATTAGCTGTCCTTGCATGAATGGGGTTTGTACTGGGGGAAGGGTCTGGCTTTG